AAAAAAAAAAAAAAAAACGAACCCCTAAACCCTCAAGACACCCGCCAGCCTCCTCCAAACCCCCTCGAACCCTCCCCCTCCCTTTGAAGGGCCCGCCTCTGTCAGCTCCACCACTGTGTCGCCGAGGATCTCCTTTCCAGACTCTGGGTCCAAGAGCCCCACCTCACGGAAGCTTCCGACATCTTCGGGCTTTGGGGATTCGGGGCTTTGGGGCTCCACGGCTGAAGCTTCCGGGATCTCAGGGGGTTTCGGGCGTTTGGGTTCTGCGAAGGTGCCTTATCATCATGACGCATCACCATTATCGCTCCGTCTCTCTCTCTCTCTCTCTTCCTTCCTTCCTTGCGCTGGGTCCGGGCCAACTGTGCCTAGGCGCCCGCCTCCCTGTTAAAGCGGTAGGGAAGTCCCTCTCTCTCTCTCTCTTTTCTATTTTCGCTCGAGGGCTTGCTCCCTTTTCGGGGTTAATTAGGATGCGCGCAAGAATCGAAAACACCGACCCCAGAGCCTAGAAAAGAGAGGGTCCTGGATCCCAGGCCTTCACCGGGATGTGCATGGGCTTCTTGTCCGTCTGGCCGGGTGTGTCCGGGACCTTCTGCTTCAGGGTCAGCGTGTAGGTCCCTTTCTCCGCGTCCCAGGAATCCTCCGCTGGTCGGAACGAAGAGCTTTGGGAGAAACAGCTTGCTCTGACAACGACCCCAACTGTTAGGTGTCACTAGAAGCCCTCCAGGGTCACCCTAAATTGGAGAAGCTTTGCCAGCAAAGGAGCTCTTAAACACTAAAACCATCTGGAACCGGAATGAAACAAGCAAAGGAACACCCCTCCCCTCCGGCTCGTGCCATCTTTCATAACCCCAGACGCTCAACCCTCGAAGCACCCGACCAAAGCCCGTCCTTGGCCGTCAGCGTCGGGGTGCCTGCCTGCAGGTACCAGTTCTCGAACTGCTTCAGGTCCCGGCCATTGGCATCCTCCAGTCCGCGGGGAGGGGGGAGGGGAGGGGGGGAGGGAGGGTGCATAAAGTAGTCCCTTATCTTGCTCACTCTTATGATCCTCATTATCCTCATAATCCTTCTTATCCTTACCATCCTTATTGCCCTTATTAGTCGAACCAAACCCTTGTTACTAGTACTAGTAACTAGTACTCCTTTTTCATTACTATTCCTTTTCTATTTATTAGATCTATCGTTTTTGTTTACTGTTATTATTGTGATTTCGATTATTATTTTGTCCGCGGCGCCGGGCCCTATGCTCGGAGGTTTAGCACCCGGACGCAAATCCAAACCGAGTTCAACGGCCAACCCGTTGCCTGCATCGCCCCGCGGAAGTCGTCACAAGTCACGGCATTTCCGTCGTGGCGCTCGAAATACCTTTCCAAACGCTCAGTTTCGAGGGTTTGGAAACAAACAAACGAACAAGCAATCAAGCAAGCTACATTAATACATCCATCCCTCTATCCAACCATCCATGCATACATACTTTCATGCATGCACGCACGCACGTTCACATGTATACATACATTGCATTGTATATATATATATATATACAACAATACAAGATCCAAATATCTGCATGATTACAAAAAGTATAAACCTGCATGATTGCATTCGTTGTACGATTGGTTTCAGCATTCAGAGACTTATGCAGTTATGGGATTTGTACGTATAAAAGATGTATTTATGTAGTGTGTTTCCATATACATGTGTATATGTATATATATGTATGTATATATGTATATACATAGCCATCTGCATGTTTGTAGCCATGTCTATGTCCACTCCCGTTATTGTACAAAGGCTTATTGCCGTATTGCCCTAATGCTTCGGGTCTACTTGGGCCTCGCGGCAACCCGACTCGACTTAAACCAGAACGCTTGTACAGGATAATATAGGGTTGAACCTGCTACAACCTTGAAAGATCAAGCATACCTATCCAAGGCACAAGTCCATCCCCTTTCGGAAGCCATCCCGGCCCAAGAGCGTCTCGTACATGCGGATGACCTCTGCAAGGCATGCGCTGGTGAGGTTTAGGATTTCCGCTTTACGATCTCAAGTATGCTCTTCTGAGCCTCGTCCTCGAGCGCAGAAACGACATCAGAATGGACAAAAAAAGTAGCAGATGGCCTGGTTAGCTCGATTACCGCGTGCACTGAATTTCAATCGTCACTTGCTTTGATAATGTCCCTTCTCTCCAAATAACCACCACCATCATCACCATCATGACCATGATCATCACATCATCGGAATCATCACCATCGTCGTGATTGAAATCATCATCTGCATCTGCTCACACAAAGCCCCCTAGAGCCTCGGTGGGGTTTTGGACTTCGCACGAGAAGGGCTCAATGCTGTCTGTTTCTCCCAGCCTCAGCTCCCTTGTTGTAGACCGTGGCCGTGTAGAAGTTGTCAATGGCCGCACACTTCTCGGGGCGGATGGGGTGCGCCATCGGCGAGGAATCCTCGACTGAGGGTGACCAGGGTTTGGGGTCAAGAAGGGGTCTCGGGTTGTGGGGATCGGATCTAATGATTAGGGGTTTGGGGGTTTATGGGGGCTGCACGGCGCATCCCCCGGAGCCCTTAGCTTGTCTGGGATGTGCTGTTCCAACAGGCTCTTCAACCCACATCAGTAGAGGCCACACTTGCTCCCCCGCGACAAACAACAGTTCCAGGCTCCCGGCTCAAACTTAAATCCGACTGTCGTTTGGCTGGCCTTCCGTAAAAAAAAACCGACCTTCCGTAAAAACCGATGCCGTAGTTGGCATCCAATAGCATCACCATGAAGCCTACAACCCAAAAGGCCATAGTCCTAGAGAACGCCCTAAGCACTACTGTACTCTAGCCTTACACTCCAAACTCTAAACAATCCTTAAACAACCCTAACCCCCTAAACCCTGCCAGGGCCTCGGGGAACTGTGCCGCCCGCAGGATCCTCACGTCCTCGATGCGCTTGCGAGCCCGGGAGCCCATGTCCGCGGAGAACTCCTTGAAACTTGGAGGGCTAGCAAGGTTCAGGCATTTTGGGTGTTTAGGGTGTTTAGGGGGCTTAGGGTTTAGGGTTTAGGGTTTAGGGTTCAAGGCTTAGGGTGGGTGTTTCGACCGGGGCCCCCTGGGGTTTACAAGTCGGGCTCTCAGGGCTTCAAAGGTTCTCAGGGCTTGGGGGCTTTCGAAGGGTTCTGGAGTTAAATTCTCGAGCCCTGAAGACATTAAGGCCTCTCTACAGCGCTGTGCGCAGAAAAAAGAAGTTCCGAATGCTTGGTATAATATGGCAATGAGTATGGGGGAGTTCGTGGCCGAGCACAAGCCCCCAAACCCAAGAGACTCTGAGATTTCGAGTTTAGGGTCTAGGGTTTAGGGTTCAAGGAAGCCCGCAAATACTGGCATGTGCCTTCAGCCAGAAACAGGACTTCATAAGCGGCCCTTACAGCCCCACTCTTGCAGCACGCCTGGTCGCGGTACACCGTCAGACCCTCCTGCAAAGAGAACGAAGCGTCTTGAGATTCAAGATCGAGGTGGCGAGGCTTAGATCAAATTTTAGGGTTTCGTATCGGGGGCATTGGGATTGCAGCTAGCATCTGTTCAGAGCATTCGGTTTTACTTCTGGGCAATTAATGTGCTTTGGGGTCCGGGCCGGGTTTTGAGATAATGGCACAGTACAGTAAGTGCGGACGACGTAGCAGCGGGATTCAGGAGTTTGTCCTCGGCGACTTCGGCCGCGATCTCTCATTTCTCGGTGCTTTTTGGGCTTGGGATTCCCCTTTTGCGCAGCTTCTGCCTCCTTCTCATCGGCTTCGACGAAGTATGGCTGCGACGGCGATGTAACCACTCCGATGCGAGAAGCGCGAGCCCTACACACCCCAAAAGAAACACAATGCCAGCCCGGAGAAACAGTTTGACCAGAGAGACTGAGAGAGAGAGAGAGAGAGAGAGACTCAGGGAGTGGGTGAAGTCATGATCCAAGTTGCGAAAGTCTAGGAGCGATCTGTACCGAAGCAAGCAGTATGATCAGCATGCTCCCGCCTTCAGGGTGAGCTGAAACCAGTCGCGGCAGGTGACTCGGTTGCCCGTCCTGACTTTACACGAGAGTGTTGCCCAAACAAGCACAGTAGGGGCCTTAATAAGCAGAGCAGCGTTTTGGTGTATATGATATGATAGATATAGTAAGGAACCCCCAAGACAGTATTGGTTATGATTTAGGCCACTATGCTATCTAAAGAGCCGAACCTTGTCTCCATGAGCGTTAATTAGTTCCTGATTCCGCTTCGGGGGCGCCTGTACAATGCCGGGGGAAGATCATCTCAAATCCGAGATACCGGTCCTCGATAATCAGCATGGGACGTACGGGGAAAATTATCATCATCTACAGACGATGCGGGATACTATTATATACTTTTAAGACTGAAGACCCTGTACTAGAGCCCCCACTGCGGCGGTCCAGTTGTGGAAATACTCGTGGCCGATGACGCCTTCGATCCGCTCGTAGTCGTCGTCCGTGGCGGTGTCTTCCCGTGCCAAGGTCAGCGAGGTGTTGAAGACATTCAGGCCTCTTGGGTTTAGGGTATTCAGGGTGTCTTTCTGTGGACTCTTTTTTCTCACAGCTGTTGCGAATAAAAGACTCAAGATAGTGATGAGCCAGTAGGTGTTTAGGGCTTAGGGCCCAAATGCCACTATATCCCCACAAGCCCCTGAGCCCCCAAACCCGAGGAGCGTTCCCCTTCTATTCCCCATATCAGCCCGGAGGAGATCGAGGCCCAAGCTCTTGTTCTCCATGGCGCCCATGTTGAAGTCCTGGGAGGAGAGGGGTTGGCGTCCTCCCCCATGGTGCCTGCTTGAGAAAAATCTGGGTTTGGGCTGTCAAAAGCCCTTCTTGCGTTGGCAGGAGGAAGCCTGAACCCGAAACCCTAAACCCTGAACCTTGACGGCCACGATGTTGTAGATGTCAAGGTCGTACTCAAGGCCGAAGCGATCCTGCTCCAAAGGCATCTTACGGCTCTATGAACTTCAGCCTGCATCTTCTTCTCCGGTTATTGTATTGCTATTACTGTTATTCTTATTCTACTATTATAATTTCTTTTGTTACTATTATTCTTATGATTGATACTACTATTCTTATTCTTACTACTATTTGCTACTCTTGTTCTTATTCATATTCGTTTTTACAAGTAATGTTATTGTTACAAGTAATAGGGTTTGGGCTTTCCGATGATCTTGCGACGAACGGCAAAGAAGTTGCAAAGCAAGACCGGGGTCAACTTACAACTTAAACATGTGTCTCACATTTGAGCGCCTTCCCACCCTCTGCCGCAGAACCCTGTGAAAGAAAGGTGCTTCGGGCTTTGCCTCAGGGGGTTTAGGGTTTAGGTTCAGCTGTTGAGCTCCGGCTTGGGCACTAAACCCTTCTCCTCAACGCCCATGGCATCCCGGCATCTCAAATACCCGCCCTGAGCCCCACCCTCGAAACCCCAGACCCAAAACCTCCAAAGCTGGATCCGAAGCCACCAAACAAGACCAAACCCTGAATCCTATGCCCCAAAGACTCCCAGAACCTTGAAACCGACAGCTCTGGGCGATTTCCGTGCCTCGTCCCACTTCATCGATCGCTGAAGGGACCTGTCGTGCTCCCCCCGACTGTCACGCGTACGAACCCTTTACAAATGTGTGTAAACATAACAACATACAAGAATACATGAATATATAGCTAGATAGATAGATGGATAGACAGACCGATAGATATACAGTAGTTTTGACGCACATGCGCATAATATATATCCCTCCTCCTCTGTCTCTCTCTGTCTCTGCCTCTCTCTCTTTCTTTCGCCAGGGCTGTGGTGTAGGGCTCGCTCTCTCTTGATGGTTGTTCGTTGCTGTTCTACATCGTATACGATCGTTGCAAGTCCTATACAATGAGCATCTAAACAGCGGTGACAGCAAAGGCAAAGAGAAGATCGCACTTGGCAAATCGAGGGCTGAAAGCTGCAAGAAGCGCATGGCCGACGAGCGGTTTAGGGTTTTAGGGTGGCTATGCCCTAAGTCCCAAACCCGAAATGCCTCGCAAACCTACGCCCCAACATAACAGTAATACTATATGTACCCCAAAACCCTCTTCTAGTTCAGGAGCCCTATCCTCACGCTTATCGAAACCCTTCCTGTAAACCATTCAACCCCAAACCCTTAAGCCTAAATCCTGAACCCTCTCCCAAGAGTGGAGCCTCATGGCGTGCCAAAGCTGGTCCTTTTCCTCTTTCGCGGCAAAGATCTCGAGATGAACATCCCTGCCTGACTTGGTGGTGAACCTGGGGCTTGGTTTCAGATATATGGGGGTTTTCGAAAATGGGGGACCCTAATATAGTACCCTAAATAGTAGGATCCTTATTATAAGGTTTGGGCTTGAAAAGTTGACGTTTTGGGAGGTTTCGGAGCATCTGAGTCTGAGGTGTAGGACCTGTGGGATTTGCAATTTTGGGATTTAGGGTTTGGGCCTGGAGTTCAAGTCGCCCAAGTCTAGGGGCATTTCGGTTCAGGGCTTGTGGATTTTGGGAGGTTAGATGGATTTAGGGCTCAGGGTTGGGGCTTAGGGCTTGGGGGTAATTTTGCATGCTGCACGCAGAACCGGACATGCTATTCGCAGTATTCGTAACACGTGACATGTAGCATCACTAGCAGCTGCAGTAGACAAACATGTCTGCATGAGACGAATAGTAGCACCAGTAGCCACAGCAATGCGAGCAGCAGCAGCAGCAAGATCAAGAACATGTACTGTAACAAGAACAACAAGAACCATGAGGCGTGATGAGTCATGAGTAATCATGGGCTCCTCAACGGGAATTGCGGTTACTTCGGCTGCATTGGTCACCCCCCGAACCTTGAACCCCCACGTTGCGCCGTGGAGCATGGGACTATGTCGACATACTTCGCTTCATGGCATATAAGGATGACGACAGTTGTGAATGCGCTCTGCTCACAAAGGCCCTACCTCATGCCCAAGCGCTCCGTCTCTTGAGTGGACGAGGGATTGAGAAAGATACTACATTACTACATGCAACAGCGAAGGCAAGGCACTTGTCTGTGATGGAGGCCTCGGCCAAGCGGTGTGCAAGCAAGTCATTGCATTTCACAGATCTGCAACCACAGAAGCGAGAGGAATTGCGAGAACGCAAAGGCGGTTCGAAGCGACGGTTGTGATTTTTTCAATCAAAACAAAAGCTCCACGGTAGAGAGAAGAAGCAAGGACTAACACAGCAGCATCAAGCAAGCAGACGACTGATCAAGAATGCTGAATTTGTCAATCAAAGTTGCGAATACAGCAGCCAACAGAGTTACATGCCATAACCAAATTTCAACATCAAGACTCAGGAGCGAGTAAGATACGCAGCGGCCCCGGAAATGGAACCGGTCAATTAGGTCAGTTGGTGTTTCGAGCAGCCCCGTCCATGCATGTGTACAAGTAAAGGGGAGCTTCTTCAAAAATGAGGGATGCCTCGCTGAGGGGTCTGTGTTTCAGAGCATCTCACTACTAGAGCTCTATGTGAGGAGACTGGTCTGACTTTGTGCATAGGTGCACATACACATCTGGATACGTACAGGCATCAGCTTGTCTGACGAAAGCCGAGAAATGCGCATGTCTATCTGTTCCCGGGTGTGCTGGTTCGTGTGCTTCCATCTGTTGTCTGCTTTTTCGATGATACATACATACATACATACATACATACATACATACGTACGTACATACATACATACATACATACATACATACATACATGCATGTAACGTAGCGAGAGAGAGAGAGAGCGGGATGCAAACAAGAAGAGCAGGTTGCTCTACAGTTGCATACGCGGATTTATGAATGCATGTATGTCTGTACGGACGTACGTATGAAGCAACGTGTATACAAACATTTACGTACATACATGCGAGAATGTACTGTACGTCTGTATGCCAACGTCTTCCGGGCCCCCGGCGAGGTCGCCGGCCACTACCGCGAAGAGGTACGAAGGCTTGGCGAAGGGGTCAGACCACACCGCAAAGTGCCGGCCTCTTCCAGGGCATACCATTTAGAAGTCCTCTCTAGAAGATGTTTCTCTAAGGTGTTCGATTCGCAAAGTGGATCGGCGGGTGACATAGGCGTCGATTGCGTTGTGATGCCCTTTGGCTCGGACCCCTCAACTTGAACCTTGGGCCACTCAGCCCAACAGACTCCATGTCCATGTCTTCATCCCCCGGGCCTCCTCCCCCTAAGGAAGTCTCAGAAATCCTGTCCTCTAACAGCGGAGCCTTCTTCTCTTCATACGAAGGGCGTGAAGAGTTCGACTGGGGGCTTGGGAGCGGGGCGGGAGATACTAAAGATATCTTCGAAGGCCCCATGAAGCCCCATGGAAATAGTATAACTGATCGTGTAGGCTCCCAAAGTCGGTTGAATCAGCCCCCAAACCCAAAACCTAAACTCAAAACTCTTGACCCGAAAACCTAAACCCAAAACTCAAAACGCCAAATGCTCCAAACAGACTCAAACCCCGGCCCTCAACCAAAGCTTTAAACCCCAAAACCCTGCTCTTAACAAAACACTGGGCCCTAGGCCCCCAACCCTTTGAAACCCTCTGTCGTTCGCTTACCGTCCAAGGCCTCCTTCGAGCTTTCCAGCATCGGTGCGGTTGCCGTTGCTCAACCTTATCAACTCACCAAGATAACAACACTACTCATATAATCATCATCGTCATCACTGCTGTCATCTTCAGCATCATCGTCATCGTCATCGTCATAATCATCATCATCAACATCATCATCACCAAGTCCATGCAAGGATGAATGCATCAGCATGTGATGATGCTGTAATGCTGCTCGTGATGCTGCAATATCGAGGTGCTGTTGCGGCTGCTGCTGATGATGAGGAGGATGTCCATGATGCCGGTGTGATGCTGATGCGATGATGTGATGGTGATGTGATGGTGGCGGCGTTGATCATGATGATGGTGATGATGATGGTGACATGATGGTGATGATGATGAGGAGGAGGGGGACGATGATGATGAGGAGGATGATGATGAGGATGAGAATGAGGATAATGATGATGATGATGATGATGATGAGCATGATGATGATGATGATGACGACGACGACATGATGACGGCGAATACTGGGGCTAAGGGAATAAAATTACTCATTGATCGGACTCTGGAGCTTTTGCGTCTCATGTTGGGGGTGAGGGCCCATTCGAATCGAACCTGGGAAGCACAGACGCTCTTGGTAAACACAAGAGCTCGGTTATTCGGGGATGCAGGAGCATTGGTAATCGAGAGGTAGCTCCGAGAATGAGCTTGTCAGGGGATTAGACTGCATGCGCCGTTTAATCTGAGGCGGATTTTTTTTGAGGATGATCGAAGAAAACTGCAGCCATGAGATGGCATGCCATGCAGTAAGACTCCAGTTCTTCATAGGTCGGATCCGATGAAGACATGGATCAGACTTGAAGCAGTACAGGTTGTCTCAGATTGGGGTTTGCCTTGCCGAGAGGGAGCCGGACCGTTTCGGATTAAAGTGGACGAGATGCTACAGTTTGTATAGTATATAGTATATGGTCTATGGTATATAGTTCAAGTTAGCCCGAACCCTCAACCCCAAACCCTCACTCGCAAACCCTTCAAAGCTCACGCCGAAGCGCAAGATTGGGCATGTCTTCTCATCGGCTTCCAGTCGTACGGAGGTGAACTTGGCCTGGAAAACGAACAACCAATGAGCTCAGGATGGCTTTGGCTCAGAGCACTTTTTCCGCCTGGATCCAGGGCCGCTTATTACACTAGATGCCCTAGTTTCGAGTCTTGAGGCTTACTCCTGTAACAACCCGACCGGCCCACCGGCATGGTGAAACATGATCAAACCATAACGCTAATCCGTGAAGCACCAGCCAAAGACCGCTGCCTGAAAGCAGTGGGACCCTCAATATAGTCGAACATTGCATCATACCGTCATACCTGTCCAAAGCTCCTACAGCCTTCAAGCCATGTTCCCCAAACACTTCGGCCGGCCATGACGTCCGGGCGGTCCAGGAAGTAGGTGAAGCGCCGGAAGCCTCCGAGCAGCTCTTGCCAGGCCCTTCTTAGGTCTTAGGCTTTCGACCTGCGCTACGGCGTCGAAGGAAGCATTTGCACATGCAACGTAATGTCTGAATGGAAGTGGGAAAGAATGGCAGCCATGATCACCAGGCATCGTAATGACAATCAATATGCAGGGGCAGGAGCAGACTTGCGATATTTTGCGATCGTCGAGTGGAGAACTTGAGCTGGACGGGGCTCCGGTAGCGGTTCGGGTTTTCGGGACCGCAAAGCTGCGGCGCCGGGCCTTGGGGCTGAGAGGAAACTTCAAACCAGGGAGCGCCGAGATGCTGCAAAAGGAGCTCATGCCCAAAACCGATCTCACTAACGTCCCAACCTCGTTACCATAGTGCGGAAGACCCAAAATCCCAAATGCAGTTGTAGGTGCTTCGGTGCCTTCGGCTTCCATCTGAGAGCAGTACATGCTCCCACTGTAGTATAGGCCCGAGAGCCTCGTGCGCAGAATTGGCTTCAGATTGAAAAAGCTAGCCTGGGGCCGACAAAAAAAATCTGAATCGTGTCGTGATTTAAGCTTTTCCGGACGTATGAATGATTATCAATCAGAAGCGAGCAACATGAATCAGTAGCAAGGCTGCTTCCGGACCTGGTGCCCTGAACCCATAACGTTGGGCGCAGGGATCAAGCCGCACAACCTACAGCGCTACCCAAACGAAGCTGCCAGCTTCAACTCAATAAGACCGCGGATGAAATCCCGGAACAGCCATGGGCCCCGAGACCAAACTTTAACCCCGAACACCAAAACTCCAAACAAACCCCTTAACCCCAGATCCCGAACATCAAAACTCTCTCAACCCTACGGCCCAAAGCCCCTGAACTTCAACTGTCCAAGGTGCTGAGTGTTCTTCTCTGGCTCAATCTCCACCTCGATCTCCAGCCAGAGGCCTTTAGAGTCACCTGGCCAGGTTCCAGGATTGAGTGAGGCTATGCGCTTTTTTGTGGGTCACGGTTCAAGCCTGGGTGCAAGGTTTTCCGTTTCAGGTTTGTGGGTGTAGGGGTTTAGGTGAAGGGCTTCGAATTGAGAACCTGCAAAAAGCACGCCGAACTGCTTGCTCAGCTTACGGTACAACTATCAGTTCATGTTTGCAAGCAAAATGGAGGTTCTGCGTAAACTTAGGTGGCTAGTGTTGGGCGGAGATCCGGCAGCTCGCCCTCATAGGGTCGAGCAGCTCACTGCACTCTGAGGCCTCTAACGCTTTAGGAGTCTGATGGAATCATCCATAGCAGAATTTGTTGAGAGGCAACTAGGTTGTGGGAGTCCGGCAAGGTACGCGAGTCAACAAGCTTGAAAGCTGTTGCCAACTAGCGCTGGTCTTCTAGAGCCATCCGGCCTGCGAAGTCGTGTAAAGGGCTCAGGGTTAAGAAGGTCTGGGGTTTAGGGTTGAGAGATTCCGGCAAGTCATGCATGCAGTGTGGGCATGCTCTTGCGAATTGACAGAGCCCCTTTCAGTCTGCTAAATGTTTGGAGTTTGTGGGGGTGTACGAGTTCAATGGTTGGCTTTGTGTACCGGAGATCACAGTAGGCTTTATCTAAACCCTCAGCATGCAGAATCGCACATCCCCCAGTAGAAACCTCGTGTCTGCTCCTCCCAGGATCTCACTTAGGAGTTTAAGGTTTAGGGTTTAGGGTTATTGGTTGGACCTTCAACCCGAAACTCGAACTCCCAACTCCAAATACATCAAGCCTCAAGGCAATAAGCTCGAAGTCGTGCAACCCTAAGCCTCAAAGCCTCAACACAAACCCCTGGAAACCTTGACATTTCCCAAAACCGGCCCAGTCCTGCAAAACGAAGCCGACATGCAAGACAAAGAGTTAACAAGAGCAGTGACCCTGGAGGAGGCCGCCGTCTCAGTTGGGATGCTAAGGCATACTATGGAAAGGAACCCTGCTCGAATGATGAAGGCCCCCGCCAAAAAATCGCCCCAGCACCTTGGAGCCCTGAAACCCAATGGGTCCGAGCTGCCTCCAGCGTACCCTCCTCCACTCTTTCCTGTTGCAGAGAACGTTGCATATATCTATCTATCTATCTATCTATCTATCTATCTATATTTATATCAGTGTTTCATAAGTTTCAAGATCAGGATTCGGGGTTTGGGATTGAGGGCCTTGATTTGGCCGAGGTGTTAGATCCAATGTCCAACGAAGTGCGTCCCGGCTGTCGTAGCTTTAGGCTGCGCCATTGCAATTGCAAGCCTCGTGACGTCGCTCAGTCATCCTTTTTTCCCGGAAGGGGCGCTTCATGAGGAGATTCTGTCCATGAGAAGATGTCGGCACTAAAACATTCCAGACTGATTGCTTTGTGCTTCACAGTGGAAGAAAAGCACAGTCGCAGGGCTTTACAAGCTGCACTATACCGGAATGCCGGACTCGACTTACCGTGTAACTTCTCACGAGGAACGTGTGTCCGTGAGAGATCTCGAACTTAATTAAAACAGGATGCAAGGAAACACCACTCTAGCAAAAAAACCCTGGGCTGCCCTGCCCGGCAATTCCTTTACTGCTGCCGGTCCCTGCCAGCATCTCTTATGGAAGCCGACTACTCATCAGGGGAAGAGCTCAGGCACCTTGTCTTCGGAAGCCTCATGCTCAGGCTTGCAGTCAGCGAGAGGATTCGCAGAAGCTTCGCTCTTTTCCACGGGCTCCACGTCCTCACCCACTTCGCTGGCGCCCTTAGCGTTGTTGCAGGTGAGTCGGAGGTAGAGGTCACCATCGGAGTCCACATAGCGTTTCTCCTTCATGTTGAGTGATCGCCCGCGGCAGGTTCGGGTGGTGTCTTGGCCCGACCACACACGACCTCCGTTCGTCGCCTCGGCATAGTAGTACCAAATCTTGTTCTCCGTTATGAGGCGGTCTCCACCGCTACCAAGGTAATAGCCTTGGCCAGGCGACATTTTATACCAGCACGCCGAGACCCACTGCCCATCGGTCGTCTTGTAGCGGATGGCCACTTGCACTTCTTCGTGGCAGCTGTTTTTGACATAAAACCAATGTGCGTAGAAGGTAACATGGACTTGGATGTAGGCTTGGGTTTGTAAGGAAGTCCAAGGGCCGCAAAGTCCCAACGCGCACTCGCGGCCTCGGTAGGTTTCCCAGCCACCTCGGGCCTCAACCCTCCAGCCATCCACATTCGCGAAGTACCACTTCCCCCTCAAAATGTCGTTCCACCAGTCCGACAGCAATCTTTCGGCACGGCCCCGGATGTCTTCTCCCATCTTTTTCACGGCAGTCTGAGTGTGCTTGGCAAGGTCTGTGAAGAATCTTGCCACTTCCGCCTGCCCACAAGCCACGCAACCCGCACCAACGGAAGCATAGGCACACACAGCACAAGCGGAAACGCTGTTGATGATCAACGTGTCCCACCTCTGTGGGGGTAGCCACCAGGACCTGCACCATTTTCCAGAGATGTCCAACTCGTAGCTCTCTGTGCCACAAAAAGCTTTGTTGATCGAACGCTGCTTCTCCCACTTGTTGGTTTCAAAGCCAGCCACCTTGTCGCTGCCATGGCCAACCAATGGGTAGCTTTCATTGCCGGCAACCTTGCCAGCCACCTTGTCGCTGCCATGGCCAACCACTGGGTAGCTGTCATTGCCGGCAACCTTGCTTTCATTACCTGCGAGGCTCACTGCATGCAGTGAGGCCAGCAGGACAGAAACCAACTTCATGCCTGCCAACACCAAACACATGGGCTCGAGCACAAGGGAATCTGCGGTGTTGCACGATACCAAGGTATACTTGACTGGTAAGGCTCATCGTCAAGCCTGCTTAACGTCAAACCCTCTATGAACCTGAAAGCTCTCCAGCTTGACAAACCCTTCAAGCCTGCATGACCCTAAATACTAAACCCCGAAGCCCTCAAAACCCCGAAACCCTACGTAAACCTAACATAACCTCTAAAAATCCAAAAGACCCTAACCATGGCTACAACTTCTTCATCCCTCCGCCCCGCCCTGCGCCTTCAAAAGCCTTGCCTGCCACGGTCCTGGGCACGGTGCAGGGTTCAGATCTAGGGTTCAGGGTTGAGGGCTTAGGGTTTAAGATTTAGGGTTTAGGATTCAGGGCGTAAGTCTGACATAGGGGCCTTTAAAATTAGATAGAGTGTCTAGAAAGGTTCTTTAATGGGATCTATCAGGGTTACTAAGAGAGTTTGGTATAGGGACCTTCATATGTAGAATTAGGTTTTGGTGCCTCTTATAGTATAAGTATAATCGGGACGACAAGGGGATACTAACACAATGTACTTATTCCAACGCCAGATTACTTGGAGATCGAGGGATTACCGGGTAGGCTGTCTTAGGATTTTGGCAATCTTTCGTGAAAACAACGACCACCACTGCTCCTTATGCCGCTCCTGCCGGTACAACTACGTACTGCTGTCGTTGCTACTGCTTGCTGCTCCTCCCGCTACCTCTTGCTACTGCTACTCCTCCGCTACCGCTCGTGCTTCTACTATACATCAACGACAACAGTAGCAACCACCATCTCCTACTGCCACTGATACTAAGTCTCAAAATCATCTATTGCATGCCAATACTGCTATTCAGCTGCACTTGAGGTCGGGCGTAACATAAGTGCAAGCGGATCGATCATGCAAGCTGGACGCGTTCAAGCTACAAATAAAAAAGGGTCAACCACAAGCCAACATGTGTGTGTGCGTACATATATATATATATATAATATATATATATGTGCACATACGTCCATAGGTGTTAGTATATGTAGTCAATAACACTGAGACAATGCGCAGGAAGAAACACAAACAGCAAACACCTCTCCAGAAATAGTAATGGTCTGTCTACTTAGTAGCTGAGTTCATACTCCCAAAAGGTGTAGCGCACCCATTCAGCTACCAAGTCTGGTACGTAGTGAGGAGAAAGCTGAAGATCCGCAAACATTGGGCCTTCAGCCTAGAAGCCCTCAACAGGCGGAGCCCGACCTCAGAGAACGTGTGTGTGTGTGTGCGTATATAAAAGTAGATAAGCAAATAAACATTATAACGATAACAGAAGCCCTGTACATCAGGGCCGTCTTCCCGGTCAGGCCAGGTCGCATCTTCTCCCCTTCCACCGTGTAACCTGGGCTTCGGATCAGCATTGGGGCCGCTCAGGTGTAGGATTTTGGGGTTTGGGTCTTAGGGTTGGGGTGTAGGATTTAGGGTTTAGAGTTTCAAGATGTTTCAAGTTATATATTATATACTGTTTGGGCTTAGGGTCAGGTTTCGTTTTTGTGCTTGGGGCTTAAGATTTAGGGTTTCGGTGCCAGGCTCAAGGGCTGGGTGGGTCGGTGACAGTCTCCGATTGAAAAGTTGGGGGTGGCCGCTGCTGTGAAAGCAACATAGAAACCCGACTAATTAATTAGTCACAGGACCCCTACAAGTCTCTACATAATTCAGAGTAGACTGTAATCCGCCACACTATTCGGTTTGCTAAGGCCAATACTACTCCGCCTTCCTGTTCTGTACTAGACTGTGTGGTTTGCTAATGTCTGTGGCTGCAGCCTACAATATTACAGCCCCGCTTTGCCAACACTGCACGATCATCAGAGCCTGTGCACCAAACTGTCTCGCACTATGCATACTTGTGTTTGCCATAAACTTCCCCGTGTTGAGCTTGATCTGAACCATGCCGTCTGCAGAATGCTTGATGAAGGACCACTAAATTGGGGGTTTAAGTCTTACAGGGATGTATGATGAACTCGGATGTATGACGTGTAGTACGGTTTTGTTTTGGTCAGGTGTTTGCCAAAATTGCACATAGCACAGCTTAGCAGCAACCATCATACGATTGAACCCCTCAGCCCGGAACAACATTCGCCTATAATGCTTTTAAAGCCCATATATGGTCATACCGTCATAGTCTGCAGTAGCATACCACCAAAGCCCCATTCCAAAAACCAAAGCCCACTTCCACCCCGCAGCCCCTGTACCCTACCCTAAACCCTAAACCCTATATCCTAAACCTTCAACCCTATATCCTAAACCCTAAACCCTATATCCTAAACCCTAAACCCTATATCCTGAACCCTAAACCCTAAACCCTAACCCCTATACCCTTTCTTCCTCGAGGCCAAAGAGCCATCGCCTTCCTTCAGCGCCGTGCCGTTCACGGCCACGCTCTTCACCTTCAGGTCCTCGCTCGTTTTTGGGCGCTTTGGTTAAAGGAAACTACAAGTGGGGAGTTTAGGGTATATGGGGCTTCTGTAAGGCTTCCACAAAGTATATAGATCTTCTATAAGGCTCCTATAACGGTAGCTACCCACCTGAAAGCGTCCTAGACTTTGGGGGTAATGTAGGGGCCTCAATACTTACCAATACTAAGGCAGGAGCTCCTTCTTACAACTATGGTATAATGGGCCCCAAAACCCTATTAAGGCCCCTACAGAAAGGGGTGTAGGGGTTTGAGAGTGCAACGCCCTGGTG